TACATATTTGACATTGAAAACACGTATTTGAATTTCGAATGATTTACATGATTATCTTTTTCTACGATTATTGTGCACGGCAATTGTATGAATTTGGTAGCTTATTTTATGTATTCAAAAGAAGGAAAATAAGTTCTACATGGTGTAAATTATCATAAGGTCAGATGGAGGATATAAATATATCACTATAATTTTTGTGAATTTTCAAATGATCATAAAAATTCATGCATTTTTGAATATTTGCATCCATCATAAAAATATAGGTGGGTCATATACGAGAATATATTTAACATTACTCGAGAGAGACTGTTAAATAAAATAGGAACATTGATTCGTCAAAATTCAATCGTGTTGTTAAAGTGTAGAATTAAGGTTAAAAAGGATTATTGTATGGGAATTTGAGATCTTAGTGCATTTGTCATTTATTAAACACGTCAATTTGCATTTAACATAATTAGCATTTCGTTTAGCTAATTTACTCATAATTGCATAAGTAGATTATTTTAATCATAATTTTGTCATAAACAAATATATCATATTATTCTTGCTTCGGTTAAGATTGTGATAATTAAAATTGAATTAAATCAATCTTTGTGGGGCGATATTTGGACTCAAAATTCACTTTATTATTTGTTAACGACCCGTACATTTACAGTGATTTTAATTCGAAAGATATTTTTGTGAACACTAAACACGTTAATGGTATGCTGTCTTACAATAATCTCCTTTCACATCTACGAATCCTTTGGACCTTCTCTTCGCTCTCTACAATCAATCATATAATAAAATTTGAATCTATAATTATCAATTCCTATTTCTGCACATCATAACACAAAAAATCAAATGGATGCAGTGTTCTCTTAGGGTGTGTTTGAATCTAGCCCCTGTTTGGCCCCCATTATATTACATTCCATTACATTAATTTTTTTTTCTATTCATCTCAACCATACATTCATCAAATAAAATAATAATACACACAAATCAAAAACTTTTCAACCACACATCTCCCATCAATCACTATTCTAAAAATTATTTACCCCCCAAAAATTTAATTTA